CTCTCCGTCCAGGTGAACCAAAGGATCAGACAAGGAATGAGGAAGCCCACGTGTCTAAGGTGTGTGCTCTGTGAGAAAAAACTCAGGAGCTCAAAGAAACTGTCTGTGGATTGTAGGGATATATGGGTCTAGGTGGCAAAGTGCTCCCACACTCTCCCCACAATCTCACTCTCTAGAAAAAGGTGGGTAAAGGTCTCGGTCTGATGGCGTCCAGTCTCAGAACAACACACACATCGAGAGGGGAAGGAGACCCCCTGGCGTGTAACACAGTATCCACGGGTATCCGACGCAAGAGGAAGCGCCAAAGGAAAACTGAAATGGTAAGGGTGAAGAGATCGCTCCAGATGGCACCGAAGCGAAGATTAGGCCGATCTCTCAGCCTAATCTGCTCCCAAGCCAAGGTAGTGGAAAACACACCCGATGATGCAAGTCTCCACCTCATGCCATCCAAACTGTCCCCCGAGATGGGTATCTGTTGGATCTGATTTAGTAAATGCTCGCTAAAACCCGCACCAGAGCCCAACTCCCTATCGAGCTTCCCCCTATCCCACGACCCATCCGTCCAAAGGTCACTCACAAGCAGGTAGGGGGAATGCGTCACCTGCCTATCCCTAGACAACGGTCTATCACCTAACCACCACTCGTCCCAGAAACTAAGCTCGCCCTCACCCAAAACCCAGAAGATGTGATCCTGGGCGCGTCTGCCGACCCTAATGAGGCGCCGCCACTGTCTACTATCATGATCAACCGTCGTAACCCAGTAAGGGTGGTTGGCACGTCTTGGGTAGTACTTTCCGTGAAGGTACTGAGCCCAAAGCGATAACAATATCCCTGAGGTGGCGGATGCCATGGCCACCCTCAGAGAAGGGGCGACAGATAGAGTCCCAAATAACCCAGTGGGTATGTCTCCCCCGCCTGTGGACGTCCTCGTAACCCCAGTAATAACGAGCCATAATCTGGTAACTCTCGTCAAGAGTAGACCTAGGGGGGTCAAGGACCATAAGTAAATGAAGCAGAAAGGAGCTAAGAGTGCTCTTGATCAGCGCAAGTAGACCACCAAAAGAAATATGCCTATGCGATCAACCAGAAATCCTGTCGATCATCCTCTGCCTGATGTCCGCAAAGAGTTCTGTCGTGAGATTGCCCTTATATAAAGGGACACCAAGGTAGGTAATGGAAAGGTCACCGCGTGCAAAGCTAGTAATCTCGTGGACCCGCTGAGCTGACCTGTCAGCGCTGGAAGAGGAGAGGGTGAAGGTGCTCTTTTACACACTGACCAGCTGGCCGGTAACCGAGCCATAGTGCTCCAGAAGGTGCATAAGCTCGACCAGTCCATCATCATCCGCCTGGGTGAAGATGATGATGTCATCCGCGTAAGATAGGTGCGAGATGGGAGGACCATAGCCACGGGTGCTGTAGGTCATCCAAGGGGAGTCACGGATGAAGCCGTCAAGGAATCAAGAGAGATAGTCCGCCGCAAGAACGAAAAGGGATGAGGAAAGGGGGTCACTTTGTCTATGTCCTCTAGAGGAGGGAAAAAAATCGGTGGGGCTGCCATTAACCAGGACCGAGAACGTGCAGTACTCCACACACGCCTCCATAAAACTGAACCAACGCTCAGGAAATCCCATCTTAGCCAGAGCCTTACTAAGAAACGGCCACTCCACCCTATCATACGCCTTAGCCATGTCTAGCTTCAGCGCAATATTCGGTGCCCGCTTCCAATCTGCATGGGAGATGTCGTGGATCATCTCCTAGGCCAAAAGTATGTTATCACTAATGACCCGATCCTTGACGAAGGCACTATGGTCCGGAGAGATGAGGGAGGGGAGAAGAGGGAAAAAATGGCCGTTAAGAATCTTCGAAATGAGCTTGTTGGTCATGTTACATATGCTGATGGGCCTGTAGTCAGACCAAGAGCTCGGATTAGATCTTTTGGGAATCAGGATGACGAAGGTAGACGTGAAGGAATCCGACATCTGGTAACTAGAGAAAAAATCCAATACTACCTCCTCAACGTCAGACTCGACTAAATCCCAGCAGACCTGATAGAAGAGAGAGAAGAAAGCATCAGGGCCAAAAACTTTGTTGGGATCAATCCTGAAAATAGCATCCCTAACCTCCTCCATACTATGGAGCTCACAGAGACCGACAAGATTGACCGAAAAAGGGATGGTGGGGAAGAAATAAGTGGTCGGGGCAACAAGGGACCCTCTGTCAGAGGTAAAGAGGGTCTGGAAGTGAGCAACGACTGACTCCTGAATCTGAGACTCCTGGGTCAGGGATGACCCATCAACCTCGATACTATGAATATACGACTTAGCATGCTTCTGCCTAACGAATCCCTGGAAGAACCTAGTGATGGGCTTGCCCTCGGTCACCCAGCGAACGGCCGCCTTCTGCTTCTAGAAGTCCTCCTCCATAAGGACTATGCGTGACAGCGGTGCATCGTAGTCATATTCTCCAGAGTAGGGTCAGATCGTAGGCCCACTCAGCCGCCGCGTGCGCACTCTGAGCCACAGAAAGGCAATGATGAAGGTTTCCAAAAACATCCCAGTTCCACTGTCCCAACCGACACTGCAGTCTGCCGAGCTTCGCCTTGAGATTGTGCATCCCGAAGAGCCCAGTAGGCTGAAGCCATGAATCCCTGACAGTGTCGTGGAAGGAGTGGTGTCGAACCCACATGTTCTGGAACCTAAAGGAAAAGCGGCGGGAGGTTTTGGAAATCCACACCGGATGGAAAGGGGTGAATGGTCCGATACAAATCGAGTAAGATGTGTGACAGTCATAACCGCAAACACCTTCGCCCACGCTTCAGAAACCAAGGCACGGTCGAGTCTCTCTTTGAGACCATCCCTCACACACGTGAAGGGCTCACCATTGCAACTAGCGTTAATTAACTCACAATCCGCCACCGCCTAAGTGAAATCCCACATCTTCCGTGGCCGATCCGAATGACCACCCAAACGCTCATTGGGTTGTAAAAAGATGTTGAAATTGCCACTTACCATCCATGGCAATCCCTCCATACTCTCAGAAATCTCACGCAGGGTGTCCCAGAGATCATATCTCCCGACCCTAGTACACTTGTCATAAACCAAAGTGTGAAAGATGGGCTCGAGGAGGTGGGCAGCAGAAAGCTCGAAGTGAAGCACCTGACCAGTGTCACGGAAGAACCGAAATGTGTATTCACATGAGTAGAAGAACCAGATCTGATGCGAAGTGTTACCCACGCCCGAGTGGAAGCCAAGGCGGCGTGAGCAGTAGTCAAAAGAAGGGGTACAGATCAATGACTCAATAAAGCCAACAAAATCAAGTCTATGGTCATGAATGAGAGAATGAAGGTGAGCGAGAGTGGCCCTATTTGCCAGGCCACGACCATTCCAAATTATGGATGTGATAGACATATTAATGGGTCGCGAGAGCCACCGGACGTGGTCCGCCTATGGTGAGGCTGAGTCAGGCCACCTGAGGAAGGAGGGAGGTGGCTAAAGAATCGAAGAGCAGGAGAGACAGTCCGTCGTGTCATGCGCGGTGTGGGTCTGGTCTTCGTGGGGTGCCGGCCTCGGTAGGTGCTCGTGGCATGTGAATCATCTGGCTGGACAGTCTGACCTGGAACGGCACTAGCGGGCTGCCTCATCTCCGGGCCTGTATCCTGTCTGTCATAGTGAACGAAAGAACTAGAGGCGAAACTCTCGCACGAGACGTCATACTGGGCGCGGTTAAGACTTCATGCCTGCTCAAGGAGGGGAGGAAGATAGGATCTAGCAGGCAGAGCACTCATGTGCACGCCGACAGAGTGTGGATGGATACTATCTATATGCCCAGCCGAGCTCCCAATCTCAGCAGAGGGAAGATGAGTCGACTCATCCCCTTTCGGGGGAGCAGTGCCACTAGTGCTTTCTAGATGTTTTATTTTTGAATTACGAAGACGGAATTCTTTTTAAGGTGGGTAGACTGTAATTGTAGCGCCCCATTTGTACTAGAATTATTTGGAGTTATTTAATTTATTTTATTCCATTCAAGCTTATGTTATTCCGTGCTCGATTAATATTTTTGTTCGGTTACGTGATAGTAATTGTCTAGTTGTGTCATTATTACATTTTCTTCGAGGTGGATGAAATAATTATATATTTGAGTCGATTGTCGAGCCGAGTGGGACATTTAGCTTTAGCACGCCCTGCGACCCGCGCTCACCTGAAGCCGCGCCCGCAAGCACGGCTGACCCATCGACCCCATCTTCTCTCTTTTGCATGCATGTGCATGGCTTTTGAATTTAAATTGTAACTTCCTCGTATTTAAAATCAGATTTTATGTCCGTGTTAATTCCCCTTAATGTCCATGATTAATAACATGGAAGTTAGATTTTGAAACTTTAAGAAGAGAAGACCCTCTCCTCTCACCCTATCATTTTCTCTCTCACTTTTCCATTCTCCCTCTACTCAAAATTCAGAATTTTTACTTCTTACTTTTCATCTAGCATTTCCGGCAATAAGTCCCGAACACCAGCCTTCGACGCCCCGACCGCTCGTTGCCACCGCAAGCGCCACCTGCGCATACCCAGCCGAAGCCCCGCGGATGCCCAACCAGCGAGAGCAACCGCAAGCCTGTTGCTCCCGCAACTCACCTCCGAACCATTGACGTTCGACGACAGCCAGTGAACCACCGGAGCCACACGACGTGCGAGCCGCCTACACGCCGAGCACGCGGACGATTTCCCCACCCCGGAGTGGACCGTTCATCAACTTTTATTTAGGTGTTTGATATTTTTTACTAAACTTCTATGTTATGTTTTATTATGTTCTCTTATTTGCTGAAATGTGAGTTTTAGTAATTATTTTATTTAAATATGGATTATTATGTTATTCATTTTAATGTGCAATATCAAATCTATAAGGTTTAATAATGAAACTTTAAGAATTGATCAAAACTCATGGCCAACTCTTAGATTATGGAACATTTTTTTGTCCTGAACACAATGGCTATGGCTTTGTGCAATTTGGACTTATAATGGTTGAGTTATGCATTTTTGAATATTATGTGTCTGCCGGAACTTTTAAAATTCGTGATAAATCGCTCAATTGTCCAAAAATTCTGAATTTTTGATATGTTTCTCCTGTAATACATATTGACCTCGTGTATAAATTTCATAATATGTGGAGGAGAATTGATAGGGTAAATAATTATATATTCATTTCGACAGAATATTCAATAAATCATATACAATCGAGTTTTCATTATAAATGTATAAAAATTGGTTATTGTTCATATGTTATGTGATATTTGATCCAGTAAAATTATCAGAAAATTTTAGATTCAATAAGTTGTGTTTTTGTGAAAATCGGGTTTTTGGCTAAAAGTTGTTTCAATTTTCAAAAATTACATGTTGATGTTTTATGTCTGAAATTTGTATATGTTGCTTAGATCATGATATAGTATTTATTATAAAAATTTAAAGCCATGAAACATTGATATAATCAGAGGTTAAATTCATGTGCATAAATGCTAGTTATTTTTATTAAATTGTTATAAATGGCACACTTAGGTTTTAAAACTAAAAATTTGTGA